ACCAACGGAACGAAAACTGCCACTCACAACTCCATTCACAGCAATTAACTGATCACCGCGTCTCAATCCACCATGGCGATCTGCGACGCCACCAGGAATGATTCTGAAAGAAGAAGGTAAGCTTCGCAAGGAATGAAATCCTAAAGATTTTGTCAGGAGAAGTCCCTAAAAAATCAAAACTGAATTAGCTGACAGTTTGGAACTATCCAATGGAAAAGAGAAAAACTGGTGCCTGGAAAATTTCAAATCTGTGACAGCTCCATCTTGAAAATTCACCTTGAAATGTAGATAGGGGAGTTTTGCTCTTTTCCACCCATTACATTAAAACCCAAGCCTTGATCTGTTTTTGGAAGCTCTACAACACGTGGATGCGCATGTCCCTCAGCAGCAGCAAACGCGGCAACTGTAGCTTTTGCTGTTGCCGATGCTCGCACCTGAATGTTTAACATGCATTAAACAAGCTAGATAAAACTAGATAGGACTACATGGATGATTCATTTCAATATGATATTAGTCACCTCGGGAGATCCATCAATATCTACTATATCGTACACAGTTTCATACACTTCTCGCACAGCATTGAAGAACTCCGACTGAAGGATCGCTTGGAGAGAAGCAAGCTTAGGAGATGACACCTCTCCAGTTTTCTGCACATGCTCCATAAGCTCTAGTATTCTATGAATATCTGAAATGAACTGAGTAATATATAAGAACCACACAAAAACCATGCCTAACTCACTGCCTACCTCTTTTCAGGTTTGGTCCTTCTTTAGCCTTCTCCATGACTGGTACCGGAACTAAAATATTTGGACAATATAACGGTTCAAATGAAACACAGATATATAAGACAAAATGATGATAGAACGTATCTAGTGGTTTTTGATACCACCTCTGTGTAAGCACAGAACAAAAATAACAAACTTTATAATCGAACAAACAATAAATGTACATATCTGCAAACTAAATCTCGTTAACAAGCGTAAAAGTCTGGGACATTTCTAAAGGTATAACATTGAAGGTTAACTTTCGCAACTCCACGTCTTTCCTATGTTCGTACACCGACATTTCCGGATTACTCATGTCGGGATTAACGATTTCGGAGGTGATACGAACAATCCCATCGCAAGATGACCGCAAGAGTTTTTCCGTCCGATCATTTTCAAAATAAACCTTTAAAAAGAATTACAAGACAAAGCTAGGAAACTATATCCTGAAGCTGACATACGAAGAAGAATTCGAATACATTTTAGTGCAATAAGATGTTACTGAATACCGCTAGACACCAAATTTTCTAATTCAAAAAAGTTTGCGAGAATGCCATGGAATTTAGAAGGAAAACACCTAACAAAAGTAGAAAGAAGCTGCAAAAAAAAGCCAGTAGCGGGTTGGGCAGAAACCGAATTAAGCAAAAAGAAACAAGACATAAAAGAAAGATATTACGCTAACAAAAGTTGGAAGAGAAGGATAAGGAAAATAAATGACTTACATTTAACCCAGGATGATAGTTGAGGTTCCGTTGGCACACTAGTATATCATCCTTGCGAACTTTTTCACCTTCCGTTCTTGATTTTGAAGATTAAGCGGAAAAAAAACAAGAGCTTATTGTTAGAAAAAATTACCTGTAAATCCCGCGGTACGGCAAGTTTCTTGGGGGACGCAACAAAAATCGAGTTTGTGACAGTAAAGATGCTGGCGTCCTTAATAGGTTAGAACCCATCTGCAAAAAGATGTTCACAAGACGGTACTAGATAAGGTCAATATTACATCGCCCACAAATGAAAAGATACAGTGTTGCACAACTAAGCATGCATCGCCATAAATCATATAACTAAATGATGAAAGATACCATCAACTCTGAGAAATGCAAAATCGATCGGTGAATCGCCGCTTTTATTGAGCACAAGGCTTGCTTTCATAACCACATATTATGAAACCATTTCAATTCCTTAAAATCTCTCTTCAGTGATATCCTTGAATTGTCTTGAGATATGATGCATTCAATTACATTTAGTTATTAAATGACTAAATTAAGATTACCTTCAAATGTTCAACGAGGCTTTGAGACAATCCTAATAAGAATGATCAATGCACGCAAAAAAGGAAATGTACCAACGTTCTTGAATAGGGAAAAAGATCGTAC